CTACTACTACCTACACTACTACTACTACTACTACTACTACTACTACTACTACTACTACTACTACTACTCTACTACTCTACTACTCTACTCACTACTCTACTCTCTACTCTCTCTACTCTCTCTACTCTCTCTCTCTCTCTCTCTCTCTCTCTCTCTCTCTCTCTCTCTCTCTCTTATATCTGTTCAAGGCAAGCCTTAAAACTGACTTAGAGAAAACCGAGAATAATTTCTATGAGATTTGTCATAAAAATGACTTCTATAAAATGGAAATCTGAAAAAAAATCAAGTCATTTATAGACCTGAATTCAAATAAAATCTCATGCTAAGCATAAAAAAGCTATATTGTAAAATCATTGCAACGGATTTACTTGACTATGATTTTTTTTAATCGGCATATTTACTAGACTATCATAAACTATATGGATTATGAACCTCAGATTATTTTTTTTGTTATATTTCTGCCTATTATATTTTTTTTCTTTGATTACAATCCAAATTAATAACAAAAATATTTACCTCAGATATGTTTTCATTAGGCTTTTGTCCTCCATCTCGCTTACTACTCGAGAAATCGAGAATATTATTCCCAAAGCTTGCGACAATGGATCTTGAAGAATTTACTGGAAAATTCTGTGGCCATGAAGGCTTAGTGGCTTGAAAATCTTCATTTCGACGAGGAAAACCATAACAATTTTCAATGTTTTCTTGCTTTATATTTAATAGAGAAGAATTAGATGATGAAAGAAGCATCTGGCTTTCAAAATTATCCATTTTCTTCCCAAAAAATTGATTGTAATTGCACCGATCTTCTTCTCTGGCCAAATCAGACCTGAAAAATTGCAACTAACAATCAGAATTAGCCCTGAGGAACCACCAAGGCTCAATTATTAGAAACAAGTATGAATATTTGTCACTCAAATCAAAAGAGATATTGAGAAATGAACATAATTGCTATCTCGTGATCAAGATAAGAAGAAAACTATAATATATTTCATCTTTATTTACTTAAAAAATAATAAATTATCAATAGGATAATTAGATGGTGTTTTATCACTATGAACAGTGATTTTCCTTTTCCTTTTCTTTTTTTTTTCCTTTTTTTGAAAGGGATGAACAGTGCTTTATCCTTTATAAGGCACTAATGGAAAATAAATTAGGTTTTAAAAAAATTTCCTTGTTTTTTAAGTTTTCTAGTTCTACGTACCTAGTACAAAATTCAAATCCATTTGTTTTCTTATTTTCCTAAGAAATCACGAATTTTTCCTAGAGAAAAATGTGTTTTTTACTGAATAATTGCACACAAGAATTCCCAACAAATTTATGATGAAATGAATTCTCCAATATCATTCCGATATCGATAATTCTTTGATGAATCTAAACAAAAATGAAAAATAAAAATAAAAAAGATCTTACGATAATAATTGGCTCCACGATTCAGGAAACTCCTGGCTTTCTAACAAGCTTGTTAGAGGTGGGTAAGGTGCAGCCATGGAAGAACCATTTATTCCCTGGAAAATGGTTTTCCTCTCATCTTCTCCACCTGCGTTGATGTTCCACCGGTTAGGGTTTCCGGTCATAATCTGTTGAACTGGAAAGCTTTGCAAACGATTCATGCCTGAAATTTGAATTTTTTTTTTTTTTTGTTGGTGAAATCAATGGAACTGAAGTTGCACCCCTCTTCAAGAAGTGGTTGAGGCGTGAGGCTAGGGTTTCTGTCTCCTTTCGCTTAGAGAGAGATGGGTTGGGTTTGCTTCATTAGCTTCCAATTGGATTGACTGCTAGCCTTTGTACTCTTTCTCTCTTTTCCTTCCTCTCTCTCCTTTTTTTTCTCTCTCTACTTTTTCTATCTCTTTTTTTTCATACTTTCTCTCTCTCCCTTTGTTTTCTCTCTTTCTGCTTTTTCTTTATCACAAAGTGGGGCAGAAAAAGGTGGTGGCAGTGTTTTCAGACCAAAAGAGGTGTTTTAGGGTTTGTACAAGTTAATAAACTGGAGCTCGAGTTAGAGTAAGGTTAATGTTAATAATTAGGGTTTGGATTGGGTTAATTACAGTAAATCCAGCTTGGCTTGGCTAGGCTCAGCTCGGCTCGGCTAGGCTCGGCTTGACACTCATATATGTATTTTTAAAAAAAATTACATTGTACATCACCGGTGTATTATGTATGGTAAACCACATAGATATCCATATTCTGTTTGATATGATGGACGGTGGAGATTAAGCTTGGTTTTTGATGGTAAGCACGCACTTAGGTAAGTTTAGTTTCTTCGACACACTAAGGACATGACGCATGAAAGTGAAATTCTGGAAATGTAAGTACTTCTTAATCTTTACTTGAATTCCTCTTCTTTATTGTGTCCCACTTCTTTAAATCATACAAAGATAAAACTTTGAAATATCAATTTTTTATATTAGAAGTTTGTGACACTCGTATCCATCTCAGACACTGAAACATGTATCCTTATCTACGTATCAAAATGAAGGGTGATGTTTATAAGGCCGAGGCTCTAAACAATCAATGTAAAGTGCATGTTCAAATAGTGTCGAGAAATGTGGTTTCAATAGTGGAAATCATTGTAATGGTCTTAAAATATATTTTCATATCTAATTATAGAATTTAAAGCTTCAAAAATAGTGTAGATCGAGCATATCTATGAAAATTTGAAAATCTTGAAAATTGACGGTCAAAAAATGCATTATAAGATGAACTATTTCCAAAGCTTGAAATCTATTTTTTCTCATGTCCATGCATCTTGAGGACAAGATGATCAATTTGAGGATTTTTGGGCATCAAAATAACCTCTTCTAGTGAAATTTTTGAGGTCTGCTTTAATTTGATTGTTTAGAACCTCGCACTTATATCAAAATTTTCCCACAATGAATACCTGTTTTTGAAGTATAACAATATTGCCCTAGGTTGCAAATTTTTTTTAATATGATCTAATTTTCTCATTTTCAAAAGATCTGACGAATTTCTTCTTAATTTATAGAGGAATTTACATACAGACCATAAAAATTTCCATATGATACGAAATGCTCCATTTGTAGAGGGAAATTATAAGAATGTCAGTCAATCTACTTTTTAAATTTTTTCTAAAATTGCTCTTTGATCCAAGAACATCCTCAGACCAAATTTTAAATTTCATTTTAGTTTTTTGTTAATAAGGCATTGCCCTACTGAACAAAAAACTAAAAAAAAAAAAAAAAATGGACTAAGGATTCCATTCTCAAACCAAATGGCAATTTTAGAAAAACTAAAAAAAACAAATTGACCGACTTTCTTTATAATTTTTGCCTATAAATTGAGCATTTTGTATTTTACAAAAAATTAGGATCTATATGTAAATCACTCTAATTTATATTGGTGCCATAATTTTTTTTGAAAGAAAGTGTGGGTTGGGAATTACGAGAAAGATGGGCTAACAAGATACATGGAGCTCACCTACCACCAGTTCTCACTTTGTATCTTATTAAAAAATATAACATGGAAACTGTATGTTGTTTTATTCATTTTTCGCTTTGAACAAGTGTGACATTTTTTTTGTGTATATTTAAATGGTAAAGTGCTTTTTGTAGGACCGCAACTTTATAAAGCTATTGCCAGAATATGCAGATTTGGCAAAAAAAAAAAAAAAAAAAAAAAAAAAAAAAAAAAATCAAATCAATCAATTCGATCTCAACAATTATGGATCTGAAAAAATAACTGAGTTTAAGACCTAAAATTGATTTATTGTATAGCATATTCTTATAATTATATTTTATATTTTTGCCAATCTGTTATAATCTATGTCATATTTAGAGCTTCAAATTTCATTGTCAACAATAGAAATAGATTTTCATAACATCGTAAGGGTTTCTAGCATTAAAATTACATTTTCTTATGAGATTCTGGGATGTGGCTTTACCAGATATTTCAAAGCCCCTGACCACATGAAAACTACACCATTAAGAAAATATTTCTAAACATACATACATACGTATACATATACATATACATATACATATACATATGCATGATGGCTTGTATGACCAGTTCTATGCCTAAAACCCAAAGATCCAATTAGTCCAAACTGGGGTTAAAATATTATTCGACGAAAGCCAAAAAAACTAGTGCAAAATAAATAGCAAGTATAAAATTCTCCCATGGGAGCATACTTTATATTTACTCCCTCAAACAAAAGATTTACTGGACTCTCAATAGAGCAAAATGACAGACCAAGATTCATATAGCTGACTCTAATTAGTTCATAAAAGGCTTTGACGATGATGATGCAAAAGAATTATGGGGATAAATTTTTATCTAAAATTTTGACATCCACCTAAAAATCATTAGATGATTATTTTCAAAAACACAATTGGCTCTTAGTTTCTTCATTTCTTAGATCATGCCCTCAAAAAATTAGATAGTACCTATTCAATCTAGGTTCTTATCATGCATAGAGAATGGACAATTGGAGATTTTACTTTTCTTTTCTTTTCTTTTTCTATTAAGGTTGGTTTTTAGGTTCAAGAGATTATCTCTAAGATTTGGGTTTTTTTATTATTTTTTTTGTTAGTTCAGTGAGGATGAGGTCTCCTATTTATAATAGAAATGGAACTCAAAACATCATGTTAAGATGACCCACCACCCTAACCACCTAGCTGTGAGCTCAATCCTCCGAAGATAATCTTCGCTTAACATAGGAACCAAATCAACAATATGCTTTGGTAGGACAATCAAATCTTGTCATATATAGATTAGCTTAGAATATATCTCTACCATTGAAATACATTGAAATAGTAAACATTTTTTTTGGAGTGATTTACGTATAGACCCAAAAATTTTACCTAAAATATTATATATATAGGTAGAAATTACAAGGAAGGTCAGCAACCCATTTTTTTTATTTCTTCCAAAATTGCCCCCATTTAACATTTTTTTTTTTGAAAAAAAAATCATTAGTAGGGTGATGCCTAGGCAGTCTGAGGTTAGGATGCTCAAACCCATGTTAAGTGGTCCGAGGTCCCCATCCTCATATTGCTATTTATCTCAATAAATAAGAAATAAAGAGGGGTCCGAGGTCCTCGGACCCGTCCTTGGACCGCTGTTTTTTCTCAGGAAATAAGACATACGGTACCACTGTTTTTTCTCAAAAACAAGAAATAAAGAGCGGTCTAAGGATGGAACCTTGGACTGCTCAGGAAACAGAGGGCCGTCAGAGGATTCAAACCTCGGACCACTTGAGCAATAGCCATAGAGCTCGGGGCACTGCCCAACAGAAAAAAAAACACTAAAAAGAATTAAAATTAAAATTGATGTCCGAGGATGGACAAAATTTGAAAAAAATAAAAAAGCGAGTGGATCAACCTTCCTGGTAATTTTCACACATTTTTTATTTTAGGTAAAATTTACGGGTCCATTCGTAAATCACTCGTCTTCTTTTTTCTCACTTTAACTAACAATATACTTTGCATCTTATTCCAATTCTTCATGGACCAGGATGAAAGGGCCCTCTCTTGTTGACAATGGACAAAGCCATACTAATTCAATTTGGATTGAGCATTTGTCATCAGGTAAGAAGGGAGTTTCTAAAATTCAACATAAAAGGGCAAAAACAAAACATCTTCAAGCCATTCAAGTTCTAATGGTCGTTGTAATAGTGACAGTCTTCGCCGATTACTGTCTTGTTCTCTCTCTCTCTCTCTCTTTTTTCTCTCTCTCTCTCTCTCTACATGTGCCATTTCATGTCGGTATTCTATTTATACACAGGCCCACCCATGTGCACATGTGGGCATTGTACGCATGCTTTTAAAAGACATGAGTATACCCTCAACTATAGTCCCGTTTGGATGGCCCTGAAACCACAATAAGGTAGGGATTTTTTGGAAATAAGTGTAATACATGCTTATGTTTTTGTGTATTTCCACAAGTTATGGTTCAGTTTGGATGGCCCAACAACTCCTCTGGAATAAGCAAGAAAAAAAAAATTGGCGGAATAGTTGCAATAGGGGTGGAAACATGTCGGACTCAACGTAAAAATTAAAATATCTATGTATTTAATTACGTTTGAATATATTTCATATATTGGGATTCAAAAAATATTACTGGACCCAGACCCAGACCCAGACCCAACCTGCCAGGTCCAATTTTATAACTCATACCGAATCCAAATCGGGTCTATCCTCAAGTCCCCGGTCGTGTCCGGGTCCATTGCCACCCTATGTTACAAGCTTTGCTCAATGAGAGTAGCCCAAAGAAGGGAGCCGCCCCCATGAATAAAACAAGCTACAATTTTTTTTCACTTCTAAATAGGTGGAGGAAACGATGAGTTATCTTTAACAAATGACGCTTCCAAACTGCGCCTAGCATGTGCTATTTTTGGTATGTGATTTGGGATATTTATTTCAGATGCTTTATGGACATAATTTCTACTCATAAAAGAAAAAAAAGAAAAGAAAAAAAAGACTATTATGTGCATCCATATAAGAAAAACAACCTATATAAGGTGTCAATCAAAGTAAGGTACACCTCAAAAATCCTCTAGAATAGTGTTCCAACAATGGAAACTCTCCAATTGATCGTCTTGAACTCGAGATATATAGATATGACGGAAAAAATACGTAATAAAAATAGTATATCTTGCACTAAGTTATTTGGACCATCTATTTTCAAGATTTTCAAGTATTTATAAATATGCTTGGCTTGTAACATTTTTTAAATTTTAAATTCTATAAGTACAAACGAAAATAGATTTTCAATCCATCATAGAGTTTCTGATACTTAAACTATGTCTCCAGGAGGTGTGTCTTACTTTTAAGTACAAGGAGGACACTTTATATAAACCTCACTTGTCTGTATAACATAACT